AAATTATTAAATTATTCTTAATAAATAAATATAAATTTTTTTAATTAATAATATTTTAATAATTTAAATAATTAAACTATATTTTTAAAATATAATCTAATTTAAAAAATAATTTTTTTATTTGTAAAAAAATTTCAATAGATCCACCTTTATCTTGTGCACAAGCCCAAGCGCACAAATTAGGACGTTATCATTGTACAGTTGTTCTTATTTATTTTCAGGAAAATGGGAACACGTTGAAATCCAAATTGATTTTCTCCTTTTATTGGATGCCGCCCAATCCATCGTCCCAATTATGAATAAGTACCTCTTTTCACCCTCACTTTATATAAGAGGGTGGCTGCATTTCCCGGGAATGCAACATCTTTGATGTTCTGAGTCCTTTTAGAGATAACGCAGAAAGGGGAAGTCAAGTTTAACTTGGAAATCTCTTTGTTTTTCTCCTTAGAGGTCTCTCTCATCTGGGTTTTCCTTTTCTCTCTTGTTGCTAATTTGGGTCATTGGTTTTGATTGGAAAAGAATACACTTTATACAGGGGAAGGGTATTGAGACTATTGAATTGATAGAATGGGTGCACCCTTATCAGCTTGGCCATGGGAGAACTTGGGAATCTACAAGGTAAAGGGAAACTATGATTCATTTGATTTTCATTCTGCTCCTTTTCTTCCCCTTTCATTTTGTCCTGATGTGGGTTCCTCTGTTTTTTTTTGCTTTTGGGGCAGTATCTGTTGTATGGACCTTTGGCTGCAAAAGTTGTGTATTCACTAATCCGTGAGGAATCCGTTAATGGTAGTTGGTGTTTCCATATTCTCCTTATTTGTGTGCTTAGGGGACTTGTTTATCAGCTATGGAGCTCTTACAGCAACATGCTTTTCCTTACTCGCAATCGCCGGATTAATCAGCAAGGGGTAGATTTCAAGCAGATAGACAAAGAATGGGACTGGTAATTCATGCACAAAGCGTGTTCCTTGGTTATGATCTTGGTATCTTATATCAACATGAGAACCTAATTTTGTCTTACTCTTGTCATTTCATTTCTCTCCAGGGATAATTTCATACTTCTTCAAGCTTTAATCGCTTCCATGGTGTGCTCCATCTTCCTTCCCTTCCATGATATTCCTGTATGGAACACAGAAGGTCTTCTTCTTTTACCGTTGCTCCATGTGACAATTTCAGAACCTTTATTCTATTGGGTTCATAGATGTCTCCATGGAAACTACTTTTTTACCCGTTACCACTCCCTGCACCATTCATCACCAGTACTCCATCCCTTCACAGGTAAAAGACATTGACTGATAACCCACCCGTATCTTTAACTTCTTTTCTCCCAACTCTGGTATTCATGAAGTAGATAATCAATTTCTTGTGTGTTTAACTATTTAATTAAATAATTGATTCAGCTGGTAGTGCAACCCTTTTGGAGCAGTTGATCTTAACTTTGGTCCTGGGGATTCCGATTATTGGTTCCTCTTTGATGGGATATGGATCTACAAGCTTGGTTTATGGCTATATTTTGGTGTTTGATTTTCTGAGATGCCTGGGGCACTGCAATGTTGAAATTGTACCCCATGAGATTTTTGAGAAGCTGCCTTTCCTTAGATATCTAATCTATACCCCCACGTAAGTAACCTTACACCTATTACTACCTCATAAATGCATCACGGAGCTCTATGTTCTTGGAAAGTGAATTTTTTTCCCTATATAGGAGTAAATGATTCTCTGGAGCCTTCTGCTGCCTAATTTGCATGATTATGATCTTATGACGTTAACTACATGTGAATTTTATTGAAGTTTTCCAACCACATATGATGGACCCCCACAACTATCTGTCCGTATTTGGAGGATATTACTTTTCTTCTTATACAGCGCAACCATATTTTAGAAAGCCATTAATAGTTAACAGGAAAGAGTAGATGATCATTGATGTTGGGATGTCTTGTTCTAGCAAACACTATTCCTATATTTGATAAATTTCAACTTGTTTTGTGGTGGTATATTTTCCAGTTACCATAGTTTGCACCACATAGAGAGGGGAACCAACTTCTGCCTCTTCATGCCTTTGTTTGACGCAATGGGGAAGACACTTAACAGCAACTCATGGCAACTGCACAAGAAAGTTAGTTCAGATTCAGGTCGGCATGAATTCCATCTCTTATTCCATTTTTGTTTTTTCCAATTACAAATTTTTAGTATGCTCTTGTATGGACCATTGCAAATATCATCCCTAAAGTACATTCAAATTTGTAAGAACCCAAGAGTTGACAGTAACGATGGAGACCAATACTAAAGTCTTTGCTCAAAAAATTGGCATATACCTAATTGGTATGAAATGTGGACAGTGATGAATATTTAATTTTGAGTTCTACTTACCATTGCAGCAAAAAGTGGAAGGGTGCCTGATTTTGTGTTCTTAGCACACGTGGTGGATATAACGTCAGGGATGCATGCACAATTTGTTTTTAGATCGTTCGCATCATTGCCGTTTGTGACAAGGATATTTTTCCTGCTTATGTGGCCTGGGACTTTTGTGGTTATGCTAATGATGTGGGCCTGGTCTAAGACCTTCCTCGTCTCTTTTTACGTTCTTAGGGGGTGGTTGCACCAGACATGGGTGGTACCAAGATTTGGATTTCATGTATGATTCTTGACTTTAGTCTGAATTTGTATTTGTTGTGGCCAGCTTAGGAGTATGATGATCTGTTTTTTGTTTTTAAAATATTTTTTTGCAGTATTTTTTACCATTTGCTACAGAGGGCATTAACAAGCAAATAGAGGAGGCCATTCTGAGGGCCGATAGATTAGGGGTAAAGGTCATTAGCCTTGCTGCATTGAATAAGGTTTGTTACGTTGTACTTCATCTCCTAACTAATGCAACTTGTTTTGTTGTTAAATCATAATTTGGAATGACCATTTCTTTGTCAAAATATAAAAAAATAAAGCAAAATTAATAAACTTACTTAACAAGCTACGAATTGGTGAGTCTTGAGATTGATAGTTTCCTTTTAGGAAAGAAGTAAGGAATAGTTTTAGTCATTCTTTGGAAGAGAGGCGATAATCCTATTCCTTATTCATCTCTTAATTTACTTAAAAATGATCAATCTGCTTACCTATTCCTAACTTGTTAAGCAAGTTTTTTAGTTTGCTATATTTTTATGGTTTGATTAAGAAATGAATGGTCATTCCACCAACCAAGCAACATTTTTAACTGCTGGACCACAACCTTAGAGGTGTCCTTAGACTTTTTTATTCAATAGAAAATTTTTATTCAATAGAAAACATATATAGTAAGTTAAATGATATCTGATGTTGGTACTTGGAAGAATAAAGGTTAAACTGAACCAGACCTTGTGATCCAATGGTTCGCCCCCAAGCCTTAGTGCTTGGGTGAGATGATGGTCGGAGCTTCGAGTTCCATCATGGTCGGAGCTTCGAGTTCCATCACCGTTGTGAACTCCACCAAACTGCGGTCTGATGGTTGCGCGCTTCATTTGAGGGAGTGGAATGTTTACCAGGTCTGAGAACTAACTGCTAACAATTAATTCACTAACTTCCTAACCATTACCCTTGTAAAAAAAAAAAAGGTTAAACTAGCATTAAATGGCCTCGTGAACTCCACTAAACTACGGCCTGATGGTTGTGCGCCTCATTTGAGGGGGTGGAATGTTCATCTCTGATGACCAACTGTTAATAATTAATTTATTAACTTCCTAACCATTACCTTTGTAAAAAAAAAAAAAAAAAAAAGATTAAACTAGCATCAAATAGCCTCTTGCATTCAAAACAAGTAATGACAGGTGGACGTCTGGCTTTCAAAAGAAACTAATTTATGGTCACTCTTGATGAGCATTGACAATCATCTTATACTATCGGTTTGACTTTTCGTGTTCACCCTTTCTGTACAAGTAAAAATTGTCCGTAAATATGACTATTTTTGAAAATTAAATATGACTATTTGACGCATGGCATCTTGGGAAACTCCATGCACTGATCAGGAGGACCATCATTTTTTTTTTCTTGAACATGGGAAAACGTGGGGGGGGGGGGGGGGGGGTAATTACAAGAGGACTGTAACTGTAGCAGCTTGAACCCTGGCATTTTGCTGGGGCCATCTTGCACATTTCCAGCGCAGCTAACTATAATCATATCTACAGCCTGTCTAACTAGATAGTTGGTAGGATCCTCTTTTCTTGTTTTGTAGTCTCCACTCTTTTAATAAAACACCATGGCATAATTATTAGTTTATGTTGGCCTAGAATTGGATTATGGACAATCAAATAATCTTTTTAGTGAAGAAAAAAAATGAAAAAGACAGGCAAATCACAGTGCCATGATGGTCCATAAGGAGAGTTCTCTAGCTTCAGTAACTGATAATTAAAAGAAAATCCTTGACTTTGGGACATAATGATCCATCAATTTCACTGTTCCTTTTTAATCTCAGGTGATGGTATTGGCTTATTAATCTATTTGACTCTTAATCTTATTTGCAGAATGAAGCTCTAAATGGAGGAGGAACGCTCTTTGTTAACAAGCATCCAGACCTTAAAGTTCGTGTTGTCCATGGGAATACCCTTACTGCTGCAGTTATTCTTAATGATATTCCTAAGGATGTCAAAGAGGTGTTTCTAACTGGAGCCACTTCTAAGCTTGGAAGAGCAATTGCCCTCTATCTTTGTCGAAGGAGAGTACGAGTACTAGTAAGTTTCATCACCAACCAATATCATAATAAATTCTTCCATCTTTCAAATAGTTAAAACTATTCGACTAAGAACAGGGGTTTTGCCACCAAAATGGTTGCGACTACCAAAACTTTGCATAATGTCTTTCCATTGTAATCCTATTTAGCTGGATTAGTTTTCTGTTAATGTCAAGTCATTGTTCTGATGGTTGAGACGCACTGCAGATGTTGACTCTGTCAACAGAAAGATTCCAAAATATTCTAGAGGAAGCCCCTGTTGATTGCCAAAACTACTTAGTCCAGGTGACAAAGTACCAAGCAGCTCAAAACTGTAAGGTAATAAACGACACAAAATTTCATTTCATTCCTCAAGTTCCAGCATTCAAATCCTTCCAAGTATATGAAATGAGTGTTTGAAGTTGAATGATGTGAAAATCTGAAATGTGATATGTTGGTCCCCACACAGACATGGATAGTTGGCAAGTGGATTACACCAAGAGAGCAAAGTTGGGCTCCAACTGGAACCCATTTTCATCAGTTTGTAGTCCCACCCATATTGCAATGTAGAAGGGACTGCACTTATGGTGCTCTTGCTGCCATGAGGTTGCCAAAAGATGTTGAAGGGCTTGGAACCTGTGAGGTATGCACTATACAATCACTTGCTACATATAAAATTTCATCCTTGTATATTTAGTTGTATTATGATAAAAAAAAAAAAAATCCAATTACATTGACTCATTGCTTGACAATTGTTGGATGTGAGGACAGTACACAATGGAAAGAGGAGTGGTTCACGCATGCCATGCGGGCGGTGTAATTCATCTTTTAGAAGGGTGGAGTCACCATGAAGTCGGGGCAATTGATGTCGACAGAATTGATGTAGTCTGGGAAGCTGCTCTCAAGCATGGCTTAAAGCCTGTGTCAAGCGTAAATTAAGGAACAATTTATATTATAATTTGTATCCCAAATAACAATGGTTAAGAATGAAATGTTTTGTTGTGATTTGTAAGATATATATGAAAAATAATATAACAGGCCCTTTTCATTTCCTCTTTGTTCCCATATGGCTGGGCAAAGAAAAATGTGGGCTTGTTACGACTCACAAAGAAAAAGTTACGTAATAATTTGTAATCGTTAAATTCATTTAGTAAATGCATCTTCATCTAATCATCACTTTCCTGTCACTCGCGC